ATTTCATACATATAATTACCTAATGACTTGCCTGTAAAATTTCATCTCAGACTTGAAATTGGCATACGGAGATGCATTTTGAGATTGGTCTCTAAGTGCATGACCTGTAAATGCTCCTACTTGCAACTCTACTCTTGTGAGACAATCCCAGTGAATTCATGATCCTATTTAAAGTTGATTTGAAAAACAGAGGGTTTCAACCCTTTGGGGATGCTTACATGAACGTGACTCACCCAGCTCCCTCAAAAAGCTTCCTCCTGCACTCCTCCAATTTTTTCATGTCACCTCCTTCCATTAAATATGACAATGAGCATTTAACAGGGCAGGGTTTGCACATGTGCTCCTCCAGCTTAATACATAATTGAGCAGTTTGCTCCCTAAAATACTGCCACCTATTTTTTAGCCCCATAATCTCCCATAACCCCAGACAGAAGGATGACATGCTTTTGGTGATGCAGACCCCAGCTTCAAACTTCCACAGGCTGATTTTGGTTGCCAGGGCTCCCAGTCATAGCTTCTAACACACAATGACTGGCAACAGATGACTTTCAATGGGTCTCCAGTATTTCTTCAAAGACACAGTCCTTCATTTCCATTAACAACCAATCCCAGACGCCAAAAAGAGGCTGAGCTGTTTAATATTGTTTCTCCAACTAGATACTTTTTCCATTATTTTTTTCTCCCCAAGAATAAGATTTTCAAATCCTTAGCAGTGCTTTACCCTTCATTAGCAACACCTCCTTCTGCTCTAATTTCTGGAGGTCATATCACTGCTTAGTTCTATTTTTTCCTCTGTTCTTCCAGCTTCTTATTAAATGTACATATGATCCTGACTGAAATCTACTATAGAAAGGCTTGACCCAAAAACTAAAAAAATTTGAGGAGCAGCCATCTGGGGTGAAAAGACATGGTTTATAGTTGCTCATAGTCAACTTGGATAGTAAAAAATAACCACCTCTGTGATGAGCTCTGACTCTTGGGAAGCCTTAATATAGGAAGAATAACAACTATTTCCCACTGTGACACCAACAGCTCTGGGGATCACCCTTCTGCCCATCTGACTGCTCCCTTCTCCTCTAATTTTACCAAGGTATCTGTTTTTAAGGCATACAAAAACCAGCAATATGAGGTGAGTGGGTGAAATCGTATGGTCTTTTAATGCAGTTTATACTGGACAATTTAATGCTCCTTTCTGGCATTAAAGTCTTCATTGTATCCAGGTACTTCCACTTGGATAACCAAAGCAGAGGGTTTAATTAGGCCACTATATTTAGAACCAGAGCCTGCAACATCCCGCTGAATTCAATATTTGTAAAAGCAAGCTTTCGTAAAAGCTAAAATCATTAGAAAAGATTTTGATTTCTTTTTTTAAATCTTTCATTATGCACCTTCTTAAACACTTCTTAAATTCTTTGAAACCCAAATATTATAAAGCAAATCTGTAAAGAAAAATAGATTGATAAAAAAAATAAAAAGCCTAACTGGATTATTTTCTTTTATTAAAGGAGTCGAGATTAAGAAAAGCAAGAGCACTACATCTCCAAGTTTTGGAGACTAAGAAAGGAGGCATCTAACCAGACTGTTAACATTGCATTAGCAATGTCAGCATCTTGAAAAATTCAGCCAGTGATTATTTAGAGCTCCATGCACCTACACAGAGAACACATGAACACACACGCTCTTACAAATATAGAGGAAGATTTATTTACTCCTAATGTATCTTAAATTGTGTACTATGGAGTATTTGTTGATGGTATTACTTTCCCAGGTTATAGCCTCTTTCTTCCTTTCAGGTTCTCTATTGCATCCAAACAATCTACAAATAAATATTTTCCTGATTACGTCTTCCAAGAGGGTAATTGATGTAGTTGGCAAATTATTTCTTTACAGCCAGAGCCCACTTAAACCACTTGAATGCATTTCCTGTGGATCCCAACTGGTTACTTAGTTGGTTAACACCAGGATTCAAGTGATCTGAGTAAGTATATGCTACAAGGGAAAATCTCATGAAACAGTTTCTTTATGAAGGCTGCTTTGTGGTACACTAAAAAAAAAAATAAAATAAAAAAAGGAGAGAGAAACTACTAATCTCGTAGATCCTGGATATGTAGTTAAAAGCTGTATTACAGATGAAATGTCAGAATAAATCCTTCTTCATCCAGAAAGAGAAGTTAATACAAATTTCAGAAAGCACTTTCTGTATACCTTAGTCACTCAGAATTTTAATGTAGTTCCCAGGCTGAATCAGAATCCCAGGAGTCCTGGTGTTAATTTAAAGATCACAAAATTAGCAATTCTTCCCCTCCTAACTGCAGCAGCCCTAAGATCAGCAGCTCTGCAACTGGCCTGAGGCCCAGAAGAGTCTCAGACAGAAGCCGTAACACGAATCATTCCCTTCACCCGTGCATGGCAAATTTCACTGCTTTTTAGCACAATCAATTTTGGAGTCCTGACCAATTTTTCCAGCTGGTAGCTTTTCCAATGAGAAGAAATAGACAATTCTCTTTTTTTTTTTTTTTTGTAGAGAAGCAGACCTTGCCTCTCAAAGCCCTGAAGGTAGATGGTAAAATGGGCACAGGGAGATGAGAAAGGTGGACAGGCAGCTCCACTACTTCACCACAAGAAGGTCTGTGCACCCAGGTGGCCATGGTGGCCTCAGGCTCAACAGCCACAGAAAAAGTTTCTGCTTCACAGTTGTGGAAGGGATTCATTCTCTTCTTACCCCAAATAAATTCCCACCTTACCACCCCTTTATGTAGTACATGGGAGCTCGCACCACTATAGCCAAGCAACTTCCCCAGAAGAAAAATCAAAAAAGCTACTTCTTACACAGTGCAGCCTCTTCAGCAGTCTCATTGCCACTTGCTCACCAGTTTGGGGTCCAATGAGGAGGCAATATGGCAAGCTGGGAACACAATATGACTTGTAGGATTGTAGGACATGTGCTTTCATCATCACAGAGTATGGAGCAAAGGTCCTTGACCCATCCTACAGCTCTGAAGTTCCTTGGACAAGCTAGCCTTTCAAAAGCCCCGCAACCTTTGTTAGTTTAAAACTTATGTCTAATGTTTTTCCTATCTATTATTTCCTATATAAACCCATAATTGTTGTCCTGCTTCACACAAATCCCTTACTCTGAGTGAAACAGAAGTGCTTCAGTTACAAATGCTCTGCTGGCTTTATGCAGGCTGGGATGCTCTGCAACAGAATCACGTGGTACTCGAGGGCGGTACACCCAGAAGTGGTTCTCAATTCTCAAGATTAATGGTGAATGAAGAGTTCATTTTCATTCTCAAGCATTCTGCCTGGGGAACTAAATCTAACAACCAATAGATCATCAGGAACTGAAAAGCTCTGGCACATATGTTCAAACATGTAGCCACCCTTAAATTGTTATGTGTCACTCTCACAGCAGCCACTAACAATCAAGCACACTGACTTGAAAAAGAAATCAGACAAAATTAAGCTTTCAAGTGAACTGACACACTAAACCACAAGTTCCTGGAAACGAAAACAAAACATCTGCTTTCTACTATCCCATGGTACTGTGAACTGAACAAAACACCACTCACAGCTCTGAATGTCTTAGAGTTTGGCAATGGAGTTGCCAGTTTTCAGAGTTTCCTCTCAGGTACACTTTGTACATGAACAGCAAGAAAATGTAGTATATAGGATTGCTGATGGAGAAACATTCAGTCCAGGGTTTGCAGCGACTAAAAGTAGGATAATAGTGCATTGTTCAGCTGGGGATTCATGACAGAAATCACATTGTAAAATGGAGATAACTACATCCCATGATTTTCACAATATCCTCATGGACACAAGGTATTTAGGGTGTCTATCAAACTTATGATAATTTCTTGCTTTGGAGAAATAAAATCTTCCATAAATATAATGACAAATTTCAATGAGTATGTATGTCCTTGTATTTCAACTATCAAGTACCACCACGCTACCATACGGTACAAGATTTTCTGATTGGGAAATTGGGAGCACAACAACACAAGAAACTCATAAAATCATGTTAGAAAATTAGATCCTTAGATTTTTAAAATTTAATGAACAGAGAAATCAATCTAGAAATGGAAATAAAGCCCATGGAAAAGCTTTAGACAAGAGGAATAATCTGCAAGTTCCTACTGTTGGAAACAACTTTTGCCGAAGTCTACAAGATACTACACAAGCACAACAGCTCTGTTAATGTCTCTTCTCTTTACATCATGTTTCCAGCTTGTTTACTTTAAAAGAAAACTTAGTAAGTTTCTATCACTTCAAAAAGGAAAAATACACAATGACACCAAGGCTGAAAGTCTACGTAATAATATCTAAGCCCAAGGGAATTGTTCCAGATGAGTTGTGAGCCTATGAAAATAATGGAGATACTATAATGAAACACTTACTACTTCACTGTTGCATGCAGCAAGAAAGGGAAGTGTAACCCAGCCCCTTACCACAGCCATGAAGTAATGCTATTTGGCAGAGCTCTATGATAGGTATCATTAGGCTACCCATACAAAAATAATTGCATTTCTGACATCCAAATTCGTCCATACTGACTCCAGACCAAAAAGAAACTACAATACATACTAAGAGACTGAAAACACCTGGAATAAAACCTACTAACTGCACAACAACTTGGACTTCAAAAACAGACTGAAATTAAACTACCTTGAGGTCAGCAAATCTGTAGAACCATCACCAATACAAATGAGACTTGTACATAAAAATTAAAATTAAATCTTGCCTAGGTCAGCATAAAACATCCAGGGCTAGCAATGTACCACAATAAAGTGCCGCTGAAAACATCATTCAAATGTGATAATGGACATGCAGACGTTAAGAAATAAAAAAATAAAATAAATAAAAAATAAAATAAAAACAAATTTAAAAAAATAAAACCTCAGAAGCTCAAATTCAGTATGTCCTACACACTTCACCTCCAGCAAAACTTCACTAAACAAGAATTTCATTCTCCAGCATAAAAAAAGAGTGGACAGTACCTTTGTCTTCATGTCTACTACACAGTTTTCAAAAGCTGGGTTCTCCTTGTTGTGTTCACCACCTTGGCCAGGTCCCTCTGATCCATTGGAAGCTGCAGGCTAAAGAGCAGGATGGAAAAAACACAAACAAAGCAGTTGAGATGTGTGCTTTAATTCAATTACACTTGAACATAAAGATTAGCATGCATACAGAAAGGGGAGCCTGAATTCAGATAAGTATCAGGTGGTTTATAGAGAAGATTTTCACCTCAATGTTTTTTCATGCAAAACTTTCTGGGTTTAATCCTACAGGCACTCTCATGGAAGTCTGTGAAAGTCTTAATAGGCTAAATCTGCAAGATGATGCTTATCATAATCTCTGTGTGACTTCAGAAGGCATTGAAGGTGCTCTGCAGCTCTCAGCAACAGAACATAAAGATAAGGAAGGAAATCAGCGCCCTGGCAAAAAGACCTGCTGACCATGATGGGGCTCTCATCTGGAGTAGCTGCAGGAATATATGTCTCCTTACAGCAACAAACAAATTATCTGGTTTGTTTTCTTTTTCTAATTCATGACATTTTCCTAAGTGAAAAAATATTAAAAGGTTTCTTGCTTGACCAGTAACCATATGTGTAAATCTTTTAAATTCAAATGTATTTTTTTGTTACTTTTCCTTCACTTACACAGATTTCAATCTTACATTGCTTACGCAAAGCCCTCATAAAACACACAGTATTTCTTCAAATAATATCTTTGGCAGAAGGCATAGTAAATTGCTATATTTGTTTTTTCAATTTTCCTGCTGGAAATCTAATATATTACTGTAGATTTTTACATTAAGACAGTAAATATTACAAATGACATCTCTGTTTACAATGCTCTGCCCTGCAATAATGTGCTTGAAGAGTCAGCCTTTGAATGAAATGTGATGACTGCCTCTAACTCAGATCTGGAAAAAATTTCTGAGCATTCCGCAAAAGCACAAACAGGAAAGCAGGGAGGATTCAAACAGAGTTCAGTGTCTTGTGTCTGTGGGTGCCAAGCATTGCAAGCACCCTGAGTGATTTAGACCCATCCTGTTTTAGCCTTTGCAACAGGAGTGCAGTCAATTTTAACACAACAGGCAAGAAATTGTTAGCATTTTAAGCAGAGCAGCCTTTGCCAGCACAACTTGGAAAACAACAAGCCAATGCCACAGAAACAGCCAAATCACACTCGCATGTGCAAATGTTCTCTCCTCTGATCCTAGGTTGTTTATTCAGGGCTCTGTCCAGCAAAAGACTGAGTGCTGGCCCCAATCCAGCCAACTACTTAGACACGTGCTTTTAGCTTCACTGGAACCAATGGATGAGTCCTGTGCTCCAGTAAAGCCTGTGTGTGAAGGTTGGATCAGGCCCAGCATCTCAGCATTCCATGGGTCTAAGTACACAGGACTCCACAAGTCCTCTCTGAGGTTACAGCTTCCCTCACATGGAGACCCATGGCTGATTTCTATTCACCAAAGGCTGTTGAGTATCTCCCATTTGTAATCTGGAAGGGAGTAAGGGACAGAAAGACAACGAGGCCAAAATTTTCAAGGACAGCAGGAAACTAAACCCAGGTCTTGCCTCAGAGCCTAGAGAAAATCCAAGCAACTCCCTAAATGCTTCTTTCACAAAGAGAAAATGGGTTTTGCAAGGAGCTAAAAACCATGCATAAAATTTTCGTTTCACCTTTGCTTTCTTTGAATAACTGACATAAATGTTTTTCATTGTTATTATTTACAGGCAACAATATAAACTCTTCAAATCAATTCATTATTTATTTGCTCTAACTATCAAGAGCTCTAAGATCCTGGTTCTAAAGGAGCTGAGCTCCTGCAGCTCCTCTAAAGGGTTTTGACAAGCTTCAGCAGAAACTTCTATGGTAACGTTTATCAAATGAGTGCAGCTGCAAAATGGGATAAGAAACTTACTTTGTGTACATTTTACATGTTTTTTCTCAAATTTTTCACCATTAGTTGGCTCCATTATTTTGAAAGAACATAAAACAATGTCATAAGATGTTCTGAAATGTTTCCATTGTTTTCCTTAGGGAAATGGGTCACAAATTCATTGTAAAGAGCAGAAAATCAAGGACATTAGAGGGGTTCAAACAGCTCAAGCAAGAGTAATTGTAATAAATCTGGAACATCTCTCTGTTCCAGTGTATTAAGGTTCAGTATTCATTAACAAAATAATATATGGTTTCCCAACCTAAAAAGCCAGCATACATTAGAAATCCATCTGAACACCAAGAGATATTTAATTCTGTGTTATGAAATAAATGGGACTGTACAATCCAAGAGACAGAAAGAATACTTGCTGTGCATTTTGACAAATGTATTAAAAACTAACAATTTTGGATTAGTCTTTTCTTATTCTTGATTACATACAACCCTCCCTTTGGAGGCCAACAAAAAGTCTATCCTGCTTAAAATTATTTTTATACTTTATAGCCAAAAGCTGCCTGCTCATGCAAAGGAAGTGCTTCAGCAACACCTCATTATTCCTGAGCCATGAGCAGGAGACACAGAACTGGCAGCCCCACCATGACACACTACAAATGCAGCAGACAACATGCGCCATGCTCACACATCCTTGCAGGAGGTTCTGGAAATAATAGCTTCAAGCTTGAACTACAATTACTGCCAAAACTATATACTTTTTATCACAGCCCTGCATCTAGAGAGCTGGCAGTTGGAACTCTATCTTCCTCTTCACAGAAGAAAGCATGATCTTACTCTCTCCAAATTGGTCAGAGAAACAGAAGTGATTTCACAAGTAAACGTTGCAAGATCAAAACTTCACATAGTAACTTTACTCACATGGTTAGTAACCTTGAGCTTTGGAGATCACACCTAAAGCAGCCTTCTAATTTTATGTATGATTAACACTAATCTATTTAGACTATAATTAACAGATACTGTTTAGACAATCATCTCCTCGGCACGTCTCTTTCATTGTGCAAACTCACAGCATTATTTAAATATTTATTAATAAAAGAGTAAGCACATTACCTACCTTTGTTATTTTTGTCTAATTTTAATTGTGCTCAGTGAAGTTTTTCTGTGCTTGTAACACATCTTGCAGGTAGCTTTCTAGGGCATGCACAAATGACACAATCAACTGACAACAAAACTAGCTAATTATTTTTTGGCAAAGTACATAGATATGAGTTATGAAAGACTAGTCACCGGTTCCACTTTCAGCAGGCAGCAGGTTCCAGTTCACGTCTGAGCCAGCAACCAGACAGAAGGAGCATCTGCCCTCACAGGCAATTATGGCAGATGGGGTTTCCATGAGTTTCTATGGGAGGTCCTCCTACAGCAGCCAAGCCATGTAATGGCAGATGAATTCCCCAGACTAGCATAAGACTTTACAGAATTCCCAGAATTTATACCGGATATATCAATAGGAGGAATTTATAACCATCCCCAATAGTTACCACATGTTTATTTCTTGGGGTGAAGCCCAACACTGAGAATATAAAAAATATTTAAAAAAAAAAAACCAGGAAACATACGTGCAAACTTTATTCTGCTCTTCCACAGTCTAGGATATTGCTTCCAGGACTTTGAATTTTTTTACATACATGGAATATTTTCTATGGCTAGCAAAGGCTGATCAGCTTTACAAAGGGCCCAGGAGGGTGGGTGGAAGTGTGAGGAACTACAGTCCATGAGCCCAAACAAATGTGCGACCGCTTTAGGGCTCAGAGAGCTAATGCACCTTCCCCAACAGCCACTAGCTTAGGGAACACTCTCCTCTATGCTTTTAGCAAGAGAAATTCAAAACAGAGGCTTCCCTGAGATGTCTTTGGCCACTTTGTGTTACCGCTGAAGATCAATTGATCACGCGAACACAGGTTGAGGTGTGGTGCAAGAAAGAGCAGAGTTTATTTTTCCTCCCAGGATTTATAGGCTTCCTACCACGGCCAGGGATTGGATGGTCAGGATAACACTTTCTCACTGCACTGGCCATGAGAGGTGCCCATTACAAGATGTTTAACAGAAAGAATGTACACATATCTATGTTTATAGTTACTGTCCTGGGAAAGTCCTTAGAAAACTATGTCAGCAAGCTCAGAAGCTGAGTTTTCAGGGCGACAACTTTGGATCACCAGTTGGTAGCTCTGCTCCAGTGTCACGAGAGCCTATCAATAAATGCCTGCTTGCCCCGAGTGATTTGCATGAGGTGAGGAAAGGAATAAAAAAACCCATGATTTGTTAACTTCTGGATGCTGGCATCTGTCAGGAAATCTATCATCCTGGAAACCAAATGCACCCAGAAACATATAGTGCTGATAGATACTGCTTTTATTTAATTAACTTTTCTAGAGTAAGCATATTTGAAAATCATTAGAACATCTAAAAAGCTACATTTCAACATAATAATGCTGGGATTATCCATTTTACAGGACACTGATGTAAATTAATTCATTCAGCAGCTATGCTGGAGTAGGAAGCAACCTGAGCAGAACTGAGATGCTCAGCAGGATGCTGCTACTAGCAAAGAACAGAACACACCTCTGTGCCAGGTACAGCCAACCTGCTCACGCTCTGCCTAAGCTGTGTGTGAACCAGAACTGGACTCAAGTCAAGTTCATCCTTTACAACATGCCAGCAACAACATGAACGCCTTCTGTGCCTGTGATCTGTCCTCCAAGCTCTGCACCTTTCTGCCATACCTGTGCCGAGCTGACAGCTCTCCTAAACGTGCTGCCAGCATCAGTGGACCAAAAAAAAACAAAACAAAACAAAAAAGTTGTACATCTTAACAGATTGTGGGAGACAAAGCATCTGTGAGGGAAGTTTTTGCTGCAATGCCATGCAGAGAAATAATCCTAGAGACCATAAGATGTGCTTTTCTAGTCCTATTTCTATGCCTCTCATATTCCTTTTTACAGGGAGAAATGTCATTCAACAAATTCTTTTCAGGATATGACTTTCATCCATAACACTGAAAACTCAGACAATCCCAGAGCAGGCCATGCTAAAAACTAAAATCAGAAATATAATGCCACAGAAGTCAGGCAGTTTAATTTGCCTCAGCTGGGCCTAAATTTCAATCCAGAAATAATATATCAGGGCTTTCTTTTC